AAAAGTTTTGAGGCTTACGCCTCGCCTGATAACAAAAAAAGGCCTCGGTACCCGTTTACGTTTTTTCAAACTATGCGTGTGTGTGTGTGCAGCAAACATAATCAAAGATCTCAAGTGAGAATCAAATGCAATTTCAGGACGAAAATTCTTGGATTTGGTCCCCCACACCCCCTTTTAACATCCAAGATTTTCTCCAAGAAATCAAATTAAGGCAAAAGCTGATTCAGAAACTGTAGATGGCCTTTAATCAGATCCAAAAAGATGCAGAAAATAACTTTGCAGATTAAGGCAATCATTTCTTTAGCCCAGAAATATTGGAATATTTGAGGTCAATGTTAAGAATAGTAATCACTTCGCACTCAAATTCTAGTGATGCAAAGAAAATAAGAAAAATAAAAACTAAAGTTGCCACATAAAATGGCTAATCAGTGGAACTCTTGGCATCTTATATTCACCTATTAAGTCATATCTCTTTGCATTTGGTTAATGTTATGGACTCTGAAAATACCTGTTATACTGTTGCAAACAATACTAAAAAATTACTCAAAGTGGATAGAAGTATTCATGTACATCAATGGTCACCTGTCAAATAAATATGATCTTCTCTAAGATTGTGACTCCTCGGTGTTTGTATTTACAAAATGCCCTACCGACAACTAATGAAGTTTTCTAATGAAACTATTCAATTATTCACATGGATGCATAATACAGAGTAACTTGAATAGCACTACAACAGTACAACAATTTAGCTTAATAGTCATTAGAAGCGTGTCAAGAGTCAAACTTCTATCCAAATCCACTAAATTGCTTAAAATTTTGTTCAAGAAAGAATTATAGGAGAAATCATTCACAGAAATATCAATGCTTTGCAGTAATTTCAATCACAATTCAAATACGTGCAAAAAAAGTATTGGATTATATTAAAATGATTCTGACCAACCTTTGCTTTCGCTTGCACCTTCTCCACAAACACCAAGTATTGCTTCAACGAGTAATCCTTCGAGTTCCCTACAGCAGCCAACATCGCCTACTTTCACAGTGACAAATAAAATCACACAACCAAAAAAAATCATCAGAAAACACGAAAACAATTTTTCTCCAATTACCTCATCGGACATGAATGGTGCAATATCCGGCGAGTAGGCAGCGAGAACGGCCGACGCGGTTGCTGGGCCTACTCCTTTGAGCACAACCATCTCCGATACGGCCTTCGAAACATCAGGTAAGGATCCGAATGCCTTTTGGGACGCGGCTCTGACTGCGTCGTCGTTTAGTGAGGAAACGAAGTCCAAGAGGCGCGGCCTCCACGTGCCACGGGTCAGCTTCCACTGCATGAGCTTTGAGAGCTCCGGGGTCGTTATATAGGGACACGGGTCTCGTTGGTGGAGAAGATTTGGGAGTTCTTTGCGGTAGAAATTGTCGAGAGAAATGAGGTTGGGCTTATTGAGGGTTTTGATATGGGTTTCGTAGGAGTTGAGGGCATCTTGCCACAGAGTAACATTGGAGCATGTGAAGTCCATCACTGTAAAGTTTGAAAAAGAAGAGAGCTTCGGTAATGGTCAGAAGGGAAGGTTAGTGGCGGCTATGGAGGGAGGGCCGGGGAATGTGGCGGTTTTGGTTTGACTAATGCTATCATAGTTGTGACTAGAGAAAGGGAAAAAGAAAAACCCAATCAAACGAATTTTCATATTCAAGCAAAATTCTGCCTCCCTCTGACCGGTATGAGTATTTAGCAGTGTTCTAAAATGCGTAATGCGTTGCGATGCGTCGAGGTCGAGAATCAAGAATCACAAGTTTAGGCGTGGCAATG